CATTTCCAAAAACATCTTTTTCTTTGGGATCACCTTTTTGCACTTGATTTGGGGATATGGATAAGTCTTAAGATCTAACAACTGGAGTAAAATACTGCTTTCAAAAGTGTGTGAGATTCTACCCAATTACAATTGTAGAAACTTTAGATTGAGTTGAATGACAAACGTTTCCACTGACCTCATTGGCCTTGAAGCTCCTGCCCTGCATCCCGTGTTTGTGGAACGCCAGCACGCTGTCCTGGAGGCACACTGCAAAACAGCAGGACAACAGCATAAATAACACAGCCTTACCCAGGACAGGGTCTACCCCAGGTCATACATTAGTCTCAGGATGTACCTATACTATCTGTGGGGATATGTTACTATTGTTAGTGAGTACATGACATACCTATGCTATCTGTGGGGATATGTTAGTGAGTACATGACGTACCTATGCTCTCTGTATAGAAGTCGAAGTGCAGTTCTGCCGCCAGCTTCTTGCTGGACTTCAGCTTTCCTGACAGATTCACAATCTTCACCTCTCCTGCCGGACAAACATGACATGTTAGCAATACCCCCATCACAGCCTTCTAGTACACAAGACATTTGCTCACCAAAAACCTTATTAGAGCTTTCTGAAAGAAAAAAAACTCTCCATAAAACCTACCACAGCCTTCTTGTACACAAAATCGTCACCAAAATTGCGAGTAGTTACAAGAGCCTTCTGGTACACAAAACATCTTCTCCAAACCCCCATCACAGCCTTCCAGTTCACAATACTTTCAATCACCTAAAAATCCTATCAGAGCCTTCTGCTATACAAAACACATAGTAACCCAAACCCTTTGAGTTTGAGATCATACTTGTACAAACAATTTTCAATAACCCAAAGCCTTTCTACATGCACACCCTATCATACATTTGTATATCCCAATCTAAAAAGCAACTTCCTCCTCTACACAAGAGTTTTCCATCATCTTTTGGCAGTGAAAAGAAACCATACCTCCATGATGTAATGTCTGCAAGTGCACATGTATGGGTCTTGCTTGTGCTTGGGTATGCCCTACCAAAGACCCAGTTTACTC